TGTAGGCCAAAACACACAGGTTCCTGAAGCAGAAGCACAAAGAAACAATCCTGTCCTTATGTAAGCAAACCTGGAGATTACCTTGGAGGTAGTGAACTACGTCGAAGTGTCAATTGAGGCCAACAAGAGAGCACTGCCTAGTGGTTAGCCGTTGCCTTTTCTGAGGATGGAAGAGCTCTCCTCAAGGGCGAAGGAGTAAAGCGACACCTCATTAAGTTACAGTGGCGAGGCAGTTATGCCTTTGTTAGTGGGAAAAGGAATTAATTACAAGGGAGTTGTTATTAGTAAGGACCTACTTCCAAGGTCAACCGGATACCTGTAAGAAGCCACGTGTCAGGCAAAAAAAAATATCTGTGGACTTCTCCTGTAGCTTTCTCAGTTCTGGCACTCAAATATGTCATGTTTGTGACTCTGGAGTTGCATGCATGTATCATAGCTAGTCATGTATATCATGGCAAGTAGCCAATAGTATGGGGCTATCTGTATTTCTGTTACAGCTGGCCTGCAAGGAAACCTTTTTATTTATTTAAACCTATTTATTTATTTTAAATATTTTAAACCCATCTTTCTCCTAAAAAGGACCCAACCTTAATAACTGTGTGCTGTCAAGTCAAGTCTAACTTACGGCAACCCATTTCAGGGTTTTCCAGCTACAGAATACAGTGGACCCTTGACTTACAGATGGCTTGACTTACAGACTTTTTGAGTTACAGACTTCTCTGGCCGCAAAATTTAGGTTTGACTTGCAGACTGAGATTTGACTTAGAGACCAGAAAAAAACCAAAATGGAACAAAAACGGCCTGTTTCGGGATTAATCGGTTTTCAATGCACTGTAGGTCAATGGAGACTTGACTTACAGACTTTTTGACTTGAGAACCGCCTTCCAATACGGATTAAGTTCTCAAGTCAAGACCCCACTGTACTCAGAAATGGTTTCCTATACCCTTCTTCCGGGGGTTGTCCTGGGATTGTGCAGCTTGCCCATGGTTTCCTATACCCTTCTTCTGGGGGTTGTCCCGGGATTGTGCAGCTTGCCCAAGGCCTGTTTCCTGGAAAATAAGACCTAACCTGAAAATAAGCCCTACTATGATTTTTCAGGATGCTTGTAATATAAGCCCTACCCCCAAAATAAGCCCCAGTTAAGGGAAACCCCACCCTCCACCCTTGTGCAGTAACCAGAAGAAGATGACATGACTATATTTGAATAAATATAGATGGTTGTAGATGGAAAAAAATAAAACATCCCCTGAAAATAAGCCGTACTGCATTTTTGGAGCAAAAATTAATATAAGACCCTGTCTTATTTTCAGGGAAACACTGTAGTTTATTGCTTGTCATCTCCAAAGACCTTGCTGGAGCTTTTAACAACTTTCTTTCTTTCTTTCTTTCTTTCTTTCTTGCTTGCTTGCTTGCTTGCTTGCTTGCTTGCTTGCTTGCTTGCTTGCTTGCTTGCTTGCTTGTCATCTCCACTTGCCTTCTCTGATTTGAATGTGGTTCATCCCCCGAAGAAGGAAATTTGCATTGTAAAACATGTCCTCTTTTTCAAGCCAGTTTTTTGTTACTGAAGTTCTTGGCTTTTGGCTTACTCCCTCCTGCCAGTCGCTTGGGACCCAGCAGAAATAGCCCTCTTAAAAAAAGTTTTGTACTAAATCTCATGAAGGAAGCGGAGAGCTTCTCAGAACAAAGTGTTTCTCCTTATTCTGCAACCTGACCCACCTTTTTTCTGCCCGTGTTGTTTGCTTCTTGGATTGCATTTTTTGGCCGGCTGGCTGTTTCACACTGTCTGGGCGCAAAGGCGGCCCCCGGATGGTGTCTCTTATCTTTGCCTTCTGTCTGAGGTTTTTCAAGTTGGAGGGGAAAAGCCACAGTAAGGCCGTGTAGTGAGAGCATTTCGGCCAGCCACTGGGTCAAAATAGCAAGAAACCCAAGGGTGTTTCTTGACGAAGGTGGAAGATGTAGCAAGCCGCTGCCTCAAAATGTCTACCCTTCTATTTCAGTGGAATGGGAAGGACCACCTTCTTGAACCCCCAAGGATGCCTTATGGGGTCCCTGTGCTCCCACTCAGTGCATAGAAAAATGCCTTTGGGGGCAATCATTCAAAGCAGCACAGGGGATTCTGGGTCTTGTAATTCCAAAGAGAGAGAGACAGACAGACAGATAGATCCTCTTCCAACCTCTGTTCTTGCTCGTGCAACATAACTTGGATGCTTACAAGTAAGCCACAAAACTTATCATGGTGGGCCATGGAAAGAGGGGCAGGATATACATGCAGAAAACATTTTGTAATGATTGTCTATGAAGAAGTCAGTAGCAAGCTAAGAAGTCCCTGTGGTCTCTCGAGAACTGTGGCTTCCAGATATTCTTGGATGGCAACTCCCCAAAATCCTAACAGCGCAGCTCGTGTGAAGGCTTCTGGGAGTTTCAGTCCAAGAACCTCCAGGGACCCGAGGTCGGGAACCCCCGCTTTAGTTGGAGGAGACCTGGGAAAGCTGAGTCTTTCTCTGACTGACCCCTTACAGGACAGTTGTGAGAACTATGAATGCCATCTTGAGCACCTTATGGGAAAAGTGGGACATCAGTGGAACTCGCTTAGAAATAATCTGTGCCTGTTGCTAGTCCTCAGTAAGGCAGGACTCCTAATTTGTCATTTAGGTACAAACAAGGCGAAGCTTGCACGTATAGGAGAGATAAAGTACAACAGCGGTTAAGCAGCACACATTTAAACCATCTTGGGAAAGTTTTGCTTGCTCTGCTGTGCTGGGCTCACAGTCTTTCCTGTTCAATGGCTGCTGAACTGAACTGTGTCATCCCACACACATCTGGGGCTTGTTCAGCCTTTGCACAGGCGAAGTCATGGCCCTGATCCTTCAGGGGGTGGTACCAGCCTCCTCCACCTCCTCCCCCCCACCCCGTATCTTCTCAATACTGGATGGACAAGAGTCATCGTGGTACGAGGATGCCATTCAGTGTGTGTGTGTGTGTTTCTCTTTCTGTGTATGCGATCTGAATGCTTTTTTTCATTCAGCCTGGAATAATTAATTACAGCAGATAGATGTCTGCATCCCATTCACAGCCCTCTTTCTTCCCTCTCCCCCAAAACCTGCGCCCTTCTGAGTCAGTACAAAGTGTGCTTTTACAGTGAGTTCAACCCGTCATTTTCTTTCCTTGCAGGGTGTTTACAGGGTCTCTGTGTCAGCTAAAACAGGGATGTCATTTTCATTTTATTTTGCAGATGGAGTTAAGAAACCAGAGGGCTCTCCAAAGTAGTTCTCCCCCCTCGCCCCCGGCAATAGTCACTTTTGAGATCCATATAGCAATGTGTCCCAGCAGGAGGAAGTGTTCTCAAACCGGTTTCTCTCTGTAGTTGTGACTTCTGAAGTCAGATTTCGGTCTATTCGTTCTTTTGTGCCGAAATTGTCCCGTTGGTCTCGTTGCGAGGAGAGGGCACCGGTGGCAGAAGAGGGCGTTAATCCCAATGTGGGAGGAACTAGTAAATAAACCTGAGGTGTTGAGGGTGACATGATCGAAATGCCAGTGTGGATCTGGGGGGGACACCTGGCCTCAAGATTTCCAGTTGGGGCTCCTTCCCGTCTCCGTCCCCATGTTGTGTTGTCCGTTGGGTCAGTGATGGTCTCACCCGAGGGATTGTGTAGGCAGATTTTCCATGCAAGCTGAGAAAACATCTGATGTTATTGTAGATTGAGAACTGCTAAAAAGGAAGGTAACCAACAGGGTGTGAAAACCCTCCGTAAAAGATCCTAAGGTGTGTGTTTTTGTGTGATGAGTGGGTTTCTGTATGTCCATCCCTGAAGGAAGAACACATTTGCCTCTTGTGGACATCAAGAACCCTTCTTGGTTTGCCTGGAAGATCTGTAGGTTGAAAATGGAGAACAGCTTTGTTTAGACATGTTGATAAGCTGCCCCGAGGATCTAAATATTTCTTATTAATTCAAGAGTACTTGCCCTTCTGGTTCAGCTTATGTTGTGTTATTATCAGCTGTGTTTATTTGTCATATTCACGCCTGCTTTTCCTTCACTCAGCTAAAGGCAGCGTGCACTTCACCTCCCCTTCCCACTCGGTCCTCACAATGGCCTTATAAGGTAGGACAGGTTGAGAGAGAAGTCATGCAGCACAAGGCATGGCTCAAGGGGTGACCCCAACCTGGGTCTTTTAACCCCACGCCATAGGCTGCCTCCCATGGAAGAAAGACGCAATGCCAAGTTGAGAAATGCAGGAGTACGAAGCATGTCAATAACCCAGTGAATAAGTAGATAGAAATCAAAGTTAACATTAAAGCTGCAGGAAAGTCAGTAGGGCCAATCAACATCAGGACCAAAGATCTGATGAAACAAACTCAGAAAACGTCCTCGGTAGCAGTGCTATTGGAGAGGGCCAAAGGGATGTCCTGAGTCAGGGAGTTCCACAGTCTGTTATGTTCCACCCCATCGCCTGTGACTTATGGTGACCCCAGGACTGATGCTCAGCGCTTGGCAAGGCTGTGGCTTCCTTTAGGGCAGTGGTCCCCAACCTTGGCCCTCCAGATGTTCTTGGACTTCAACTCCCAGAAATCCTGGCCAGCAGAGGTGGTGGTGAAGGCTTCTGGGAGTTGAAGTCCAAGAACATCTGGAGGGCCGAGGTTGGGGACCACTGCTTTAGGGAGTCAACCCATCCCTCAAGCCTCCTGAACTTTACACACAGCCTGTCCTGCCCCCCGAAACCAGTGTGTTGTTGCCAGACGTAGTTGGGGACCCAGTCTCACTGCTATGTTGAGGTGAGGTTCACATGTTTTCGGACATGACATGGAAGGGAGTGTCCGTGTTCCTTTTGCCAGCTTTTCTGTGTTTTTCTCCCACTTGTCTTCCTTCCACGGAAAGATGGAGTCGCTGCACGGCCTCGTTGCAGTTGTCGGAGGGTGAAAAACCCTCACGTGTGAAAAACCCTCACGGATCTGTTGGTGGTCACGTGAAATGCTTTCAATCCTTCTCTTTCATCCCGCAGGTTGCCACGACAAAGCCGTACTCTTGTACGAGTATGTGGGGAAAAGAATAGTGGATTTGCAACATACGGAAGTACCTGATGCCTACAGGGGGAGAGGAATAGCGAAGCATCTTGCAAAGGTAGGGACTGTCGGTTGTACCACTGCTTTACAATCTGGGTCCAGGTTGCTTTAGCCATTGCAGACATGGTGTGTGTGTGTGTGTGGGTTCAAACAAGGTGATGCACCCTGGATGGGGGGTTCAAACAAGGTGATGCACCCTGGATGTCATTGGCACCACAGAGGTGAAAAAGAGGTGTAAAACATTTGCCTATCCTAGCATGAGCTTTCCTCATCCCCGTATGGTGCAAACGAAAGTTTTGTGTTGTGATTGGTCACTGGGAAATCAGCACAGACTTCATGTGCAAGTCCAATGGCTGAGGCACAGAGCTTTGAAGGAATGACGTGCATAGAGGTAACACATGCTGATGGCTTTCTAATTGTGATGTGGGAGTTGGTATGGCTTGAGTCTTATTTTATTTTGAAATTGGGTTTCGAGCGAAGCTGTGAAGGTTTGTGTTTTTGAACTACAACTTCCAGAATGTTGTTTGAGTTCCAAGCTGTGCCCAGGGCATGGAAGTAACATCACTTACAAGTTACTTTTTTGGGTAACCAGGACACAGTTACCAAAAATAATACACAGTTATTATTTTTGACATATCAACAATAATTATATGAGTAGGAACGGGGCTTATGAATGATATTTCCTTGGCACTTTTGAAAGATACTTCAAGAGAGTACTTATAGAGGGTTTTAACATCATTTTTGAAAGTTGGTTCCATTTCCCTGTCAATCCTAATATATTTTTTTAAAGGAATAATGCAAAAAGAAAGCTGAATACTGTTTTATTTGGTGTATTTTTTTTCATGGGCTGCTGTCTGCTTCTTCAGGTACAAACAGGGTGCAGCTATTTGAAAAAGGTATAGCAATGGGCAACAGTCCCTCATACAGTGGTGCCCCACATAGTGACGATAATCCATTCAGGAAAAATCGTCGCTATGCAGATTTGTCGCTATGCGGGACAAAGAAGCCCGTAGGAATGCATTAAAACATGTTTAATGCGTTCTTATGGGCAAAAAACTCACTGTTCTGCGAAAATCCTCCATGCGGCCGCCATTTTCGCTGCCCGGTAAGCGAGGAAAGGGCACGAAAACGCTGCAGGAGGCCATTTTATTTACCCGGCGACCATTTTGGAACCACCGATCAGCTGTTTTTGAAACATCGCTATGCGAAAATTGGTATGCGAAATGCTTACCGATCATCGCAAAGCGATGTTTTACCATCTAGCAGTTACCGATCACATCGCAATGTGATCGCTTTTGCGATCGCAAAAAACACATCGCTATGCGGATTCGTCTTTAAACGAATCTTTATGCAGGGCACCACTGTAAACTGAACTACAGAGCTGGAAGGGACCCTATGGATCGAGTCCAGCCCTTTTCAAGGAGGCCCGGTAGAGAATCGAACCCCCAACCTCTGTCTCTGCAGCCAGAGATCCTAAACCACTGAGCTAAATATCTTTAAGACCCACACATTTTCTCTGACAGAAACTTTCATAGACCTGGTGTTCCTCTTCAGATGCAGGGTTTCCTCTTGAATTATGAGACTGGGAGCCCATGAATTCAAAAAAACAAATCTCTCCCTACTGCTCACCTTGAGATTTGTCTTTCTGCACTGGAGACCTGGACAAGTATCATTACTTCCCAAGGCTTCAGCCAGTGTCTTGAGATCTGATAAGCTTAGAATCATAGATTCATGGAGTTGGAAGGGACCTATTGAGTCAAATCCAAGTCAAATCAGATCTGACCAATGGCTGCCCAATTTCTTCCTCAATGCCTCTCGTGCTGGAGCACCCACAATTTCCTGAGGTCATTGGTTCCGTTGTCGTACTGCTCTAACAGTTAGGAAGTTTTTCGAACCAGTGCTCTGACTCGGCATAAAGCAGGTTTCTGTATTCAGATCAGGTTGACCATAGGGACATAGGCTGAGAAGAAAGTCGGATGTAGAGGTGTAACATCTGGATAACCAGGATGGGGAGAGATATCAAGAGGGTGAAGGAGGCCATCAGTAGGAGGTGAAGGATGTAGGGAGGGCCGTATCTCTGATTACTGCCTGTACTAATCAACCCTAATGAACATCCATGCTCCTTCTCCATACGCTCTTCCTCTTTGTGGCTCTACAAATACTATTTTTAGCCACCCTGTTTAAGAGAAGTGTGGCTAGGTGGCTTTGGGAGGAGCACCAAGATGAACACTGTGGCCATGCATCATGAAAATCGTGCAGATATGATCGCACAAAACCAGCATAACTCCCAGGAAGGGGGTGGTAGAAGGCTTTGATGTCTTCATGCACTGTGTATTTCTACTCTTATTTTGTTTTATCTGTGTGGGAGTACAAGAATCCTTCCTTGAGATGCCTTTGTTGTTTAGTCATTAAGTCATGTCTGACTCTTCTTGACCCCATGGACCAGAGCATGCCAGGCCCTCCTGTCTTCCACGGCCTCCCGGAGTTGGGTCAGATTCACGTTGGTAGCTTCGATGACTCTGTCCAGCCATCTCATCCTCTGTCGTCCCCTTTCATTGTAGATCGTCTGAAATCCTAAGTATAGTTATTTGGACATATGCCTAACTCACAATCAATGGACCTGGTTTCCAGGCATACGTAAAAGATTCTGCAACCAAACTTGGACCCATGATCCTCTGAAACCTTTACGATTTATTTCCAAGTACTCAACATTTGTGTATTTGTACCACCAACGTATGCTATTGCTTGCAGAGATGTCATGTTCTACTTATGTCCTACTGTATCAATGTTCTGCTAAGCACATAAACTGTCAACTGCCCGTCCACAGAGTAGCGATGTATGGAAGTGGGATGCCTAGAAATGGCTAATTAAGCTGATCTTCTACAGTCAAATCAAAGATGCCATTTTGCATCTTTGTTTACCGAACCTTTTGCCTTTGATGGCCAGTGGGCAGGTAGAAATGAACCAGGGCGGAGTATTCTCTCACTGAAAATATAATATGGTGATAAAAGCATTACCTGTTGACTTTCTGCCACTTCGGATATCATTATGACGGCACCGAGTGAGATCTAGTGCAAAAGCTTGTGAGTCTGTTTGAAATAACAGCTTTCAATTACAGTGGGGTCTCTACTTAAGAACTTAATCCGTATTGGAAGGTGGTTCTCAAGTTGAAAAGTTCTTATGTTGAATCTGCATTTCCCATAGGAATGCATTGAAAACCATTTAATCTGTATCTGCTCTTTTCCGTCCATAGAAACTACAGTGGAACCGCTACTTAAGAACTTAATCCGTTTCGGAATGGTGTTCTTAAGTTGAAACGTTCTTAAGTTGAAGCAAAATTTCCCATAGGAATGGACTGAAAACCAAGTAATCCGTTCTGGCTGTTTTTTGTTATGTAGAGGTGCGTTCGTACATTGAAGCATTAGTTCCCATAGGAACTAGGGGGAGAATTTTTTTTTAACCTAAGATGACCTAAGGTTAAAAAAAGAACAGTAAAGGTTTTTTTTCCCTGTTCTTATCTTGGATTTCTGTTCTCAAGTAGAAGTAAAATTTAGCAAATGGAGCTGTTCTTAAGTTGGATTGTTCTTAAGTAGGGACGTTCTTAAGTAGAGACCCCACTATATATGGTTGTGTGTTGGTCTTTTTAGGCCATTTAGTGTCTCTGTCTCTCTGTGTGTAAAAATGAAGCCATCTGGTGTCAAGAGAGAGATAAAAGTACATTCATTTTTCTTGCGCAGAAAGTGAAGGAATTTTCCGACTGTTGGAAAGTGCTTTTTCTGTGTTTATTTTTTTTAATGTAATTTTAGGTGTTTTTTTTTAAATGTCTTTGTTTCCACTGCTCTATTTTTGACAAGTGAAGAAATCCTGCCCTACTTTATTTACAAAGTGACAGTTAAAATTTATTATGTGAGAGTTTAAATCCCCCCCCTTGCTGTCTGGGTTCATTTTGTCAACTGAGGCAAGTTTTCCTCAGCATTGGAAAATTTATTTTTAGGGAATACTGCTTCTCATTCTCTTTCCCTCGTCAGACTGAAAGATCATTTAGCAAGAGCTGCGAACAAGTTAATTTTTTTTTGGTTTTTGAAACTTGTAGCACTGAAGCCTTTAAAGACCATCTCTTTAGAACTTTAGGTTGCAATCCTAAATATGCCTGCTAGGGTTGAATCCAGTGAAATTTTCTTCCAAGGCAGCACAAAGCAGTATGGTATAATACATTAAATATTTTTCCCCAATAACTTTAAATAAAACTTTGGGTTGAAAGCTTTACCCAAGGAAGGGAATTCTTAGGAGGGAAATCTGATCAAAGGGATTCACAATTTTTATACATTGCAGTCTATGCCAGTGGTTCCAACCGTGAGCCCCCAGATGTTCTTCCAGAAATCCTGGCCAGCACAGCTAGTTTTAGTCCATAAACATCTGGGGACGTTTTAGTCCATAAACATCTGGGGACCCAATAGTCCATAAACATCTGGGGACCCAAGGCTGAGAACCAGGGCTCTATCCTCTATCAAGAACTTCATGATGGAATCATGGAGTCGGGAGGAGCCTACGAGGCCACTGAGTCTAACTCCTTGCTCAACACAGGAATCCAAAGCCTAGTGTCCCTCTTTCCTCACCCTGGGGTATTACTCTTCATGTCCTATATTGCACCTTGGAGATGCTTTTTTTATCAGTGTGAGTAGCTAATGGTGTCTTCCTTCAGCTTGCAGCCATCTTTCTTGAGTCTTGAGATTTTGGCGGGGAGACTTCAAATTTGCAGCATCCTCGGCTTTGAGTGCGAACCGTCTGATGGCTCCAGAAAGGGTTGCTTTGCTGGGAGCAATCTCCTTTCTATCCTTGCAGGAAACCACCCAGCCCAGCCTCCCCCCCCCAAAAAAAGTAGCCCTTGTTGCTGGACTGCAGTGGTCTAGCTTTGGTGTGAATCAATGTCAGGTTGCTTCACAATCTCCCAATGAGTCATGCAATCACTGGAAAATCATTCCTACCAGCAGTTTCAAGTGTTATGATAAAAAGCCACACACAGAGTAAAAATTGTGTTCTCTCTTGTGTGTGTGTTTGTGCCAGCAGTTGAAAGTAAATAAAATGATCACTTGGTTTTCTTTAATAACATGAAATAACTGTTACTGTTTAAAAACACAGGCAGTATAAAATAAACTCTTAGACATTTTTGGTACTTGTGACATTAGCTTGTACATTCGTGCTCCGCTGAACGATTACCCCGCTCTATGACGAATTCGCTTTACGTTGACGTTTTTTCAATCGCAGATGTTTTAAATAGGTTTTTTCGCTGTGCGATGATTGGTTCCCTGCTTTGGGAACCGATTTTCGCTTTACGACGATCAGCAAATTGCTGATCGCCGGGTTTCAAAATGGCCACCGGCTGAAGAAAATGGCCCCTCGCTGTTTTCTAATATGGATTCCTCGCTTTACAGGCACTGAAAATGGCCGCCATATGGAGGATCTTTGCTGGACGAGCAGGTATTCAGCCCATTGGAACGCACTGAATGGTTTTCAATGCGTTTCAATGGTTTTTAAAATTTCATTTGACGATGTTTTCGCTCTACAGCAATTTCGCTGGAATGAATTAACGTCAAGCGAGGCACCATTGTACTTGATTTAGTAACATTGGTATATCATTCTTAAACTTGACAGACATGGTTACCTGAATAAACAACTAACCCTAACACTATTCCATATTTATCCCTGTTTACTATCTCATTTGGCCCCTATCTGCCAGAAAGCTATCCTATCACAGATCCAACCCTATGGCATATTCTAAATATTTTGCTAATTGCCACTTGCTTTGTATACCTATCTGGCAAATATTACATTCAAGTCCTTCCCAGACAGATGCATATACACATACATAAGGTCCTTGAAATGCATTGAAAACCGGTTCAATGCATTCCAATGGGCGAAATACCTCATCGTGCAGCGAAGATCCTCCATAGGGCAGCCATTTTCTGGTGCCTGTATAGTGAGGAATCCGTCCTTATCACAGCGAGGAGCCATTTTGCACAGTGGGGAGCCATGTTGAAACCCAATGATCAGCTGTTTTTAGATCATCGTAATGCGAAGAATTGGTTCCCGAAGCAGGGAACCGATCGTCGTGAAGCAAATTTTCCCCACAGGAACATCGTTTTGCGACCGCAATAGCAATCGCAAAAAAACCATCATAAAGCGGTTTTGTCATTTAATGAGGTAATCGTTAAGCGAGGCACCACTGTATCTGTGTGGGCAGCTTTCCTTTCTCTTTATTGGTCATCTTCTTGCTCTTTCTTTGGGCTCCCTTTCTCTCCCCCCTTGGCATCAGACAGAGGGCATGTGAGGACATTTCACAGTTCTCTTCTCCTGCATGAGGACATGATAAAAGGATGCACGTCATGCTAAGAGGGGGTTGCTTCCCTTTGGCCCATTTCAATAAAGCAGACACTCTGTGTGTGCAGAAGCTTTGTTAATCCTTAGGGCTGTTACGTAGGGAATCTGTTCTGTAACCTTTAGATCTCCCATTGACCTTCCAAGTCCTTTAGCTTTTTTCTGTCCCTTTTCTTTGTTTATTGTTATGTGCCATCAAATTTGCTTCCGACTCATGGAAACGCTATAAATGAGTGATTTCCCCAAACGTCTTGTCCTCAGCTGCTCTGCTCAGCTCTTGCAAACCCAAGCCTGTGGCTTCCTTTTTAAGGAGTCAATCCATCTTGTTATTTGGTCTTCCTCTTTTCCTGCTAACTTCCACCTTTCCCAGTATTCTTGTCTTTTCCAGGGAATCCTGCCTTTTCACAATGTGCCCAAAGAAAGACAGCCTCAGTTTCAACATTTTAAATTCCCGTGCATGATAGATCCCATTTTTTTGCAGCATTTGGACGGGGGAAGCTATTTCTGAATAATTTTGACAGTGTGATTCTACATTCCCTTCAACCAGGCAATGATATTTCACCAAAGGATCATGTCCCTTCCTTTATATTTTTATTTATTTTGGATTTTTCTTTGTATGCTCCTGATGAACTAATCATTGATTATGTTACCCCTCTCCTATAATGCACATGAGGAAGATTAGGGTACACGTGTAAAAAAAACCACACATCCATTTGTTTTATTGACAATTTCCAAATGTACAGAAACATTCTACAGTATTCTAATCTACATGTATGTAGGAAAAAAGTCAAATCCATGTTCGTTATGTCTGAAGATAAAACAGAAAGATGGCGGCTGGGGGACAAGGTCAGTAAGCATATAAAAATAAATATATGGTTTTTTAAAAAAATATTTTAGCTGAGTTTAAAAACTGATTGATTAAAATGGATAATTTTTCCTCTCCGACCTTCACATGTCACACTCAACTTGAGTGATCCTGAGAATTTTTAGTCCAGACGAGTAACTTTTCTAAGCTGTATTCCAAGTTAGTTAGTCATGTGCTGTCAAATCGGAACCAACGTATAGCGACTTGCAAAATGCTTATGGTAGTTCTTTCCTTTCCCTTCGTTTTCTCAGGCAGCCTTGGATTTTGTGGTTGAAGAGGACTTGAAAGCCCACCTCACGTGCTGGTATATTCAGAAATACGTCAAGGAGAACCCACTGCCGCAGTACCTGGAGCGTTTGCAATCTTAATACCGGAAAAAGGACAAGAAGCTGGACTATTTAGATGCAAGCGGACCTGAGACCCTTGAGGATCCAACACAACGTTTGCTGCTGTCCTGTTTGGGAACGGACGCCCCGACCAAGGACAGCACATGCTCAGAGTTCTTATTTTTGTAAAGACAGATGTGTGACTTCCTCAACCATCCTTCCATTGAACTCTTGCGATATTTTGGCAGACTTGGAATTTATTGTTTACAATGGCTTTCTCTTCTAAGGAAACGGGGGGGCGTGTGTCTAAAACTGGGGCTTTTGCTCAGTTTATGAGCTTGTGACAATAGACGTAGGGTGGGTAGGAGAGCGGGGTGGGGGGAAGAGACCCTTTTTCAAAAGAGGTATATCAAGCAGACTTCTTTTCTCCTTGGTTGCTGCCTTAAGGAGATAAGTATTGGCTGACCCTGTTTGGGACGGGCACCAGTTTAATTTGAATTCCCAGTGCAGAGTTGGGGAAAGTCTCAATGACGATCAGTTGCTATCTCCCTAACCACATGTCTTCATGTGAGGACAGGACAGGAAGAACACAGGATATATCAAGAGAGTTCCACAGGCTGGACCAGGAAGAGAAGTGAGTTCCAGGTGATAAATGCAATAAACATTTCACTCCAGAGGCAAAGAAGACTGTTTCACCTGGATATGTCTCCGCGATGGACATGAGACTTATGAATTGAGAGAGAGACTCTGTGGACCTTCTATCTCGTCCCTCACTTGACAAGGATATGAATTAGGTCATGGCAACCCGGATATGTCTCCGTGATGGACATGAGACTTATGAATTGAGGGAGACACTGTGGACCTCGTATCTCGTCCCTCACTCGACAAGGATATGAATTAGGTCATGGCAACCATCCCGGCACAGAGCTGTAGAGAGCAACGTTATGATATGTTTGGTTTGGAATGGAAGGCTTCAAAATTCTAGTACAAACTTCTAAGAAAACGGGCTGGTGTTCCCTTCTTCTAGTTGGATGCCATCATCTCCACTCTCAGCAGAGGACACTTACCTGTCTTTGAGAGCCCCTCGTAAGGTCCCGCACAAAGAGGAGCGAAGCGGAGTGAAGGAGTAGCAAGGGAAAGGCAAACAGCTTGCAAAGAAGGAGATTCGCCTTGCAGTTTTGAACCAAGTATGCAAATGGTATCGCACATACCCAACGCCAAGACTTGGCTGGTGCTCCATCTGGCTTCGTTCAAACTGAGTAGCCTTTGCGTGAAGGGGGGGGAATAGTTTCTCATTTGGTTGTTGTTATGTGGTATTACTCCTCTATAATAGAGGCTCTACCATTTCCTCAGCCCTTCAATTGTCTGCCTTTCTTCCTTGTAATGCATTCCCCACCTAACGGGGCTTGGTTAACATATGTGAGGAAACTTAAGCTTGACTTAAGAGCAGGTCAAGAGCAGGTTGCTAGCTGTGGGCTTCTCTCTCTGTTCTGGCTTTATGGAACCTGCTTCTTCTACCACGTCCCATTCAAGCCATTTCTTCAGATACGTGGTTGGGAGGCTTTGCAGAATCAATGACAGCAAGTTAGGTTGAAATGACTCTATGAGGATAACACGTGTGTTTCTAAATTACACTGCATTTTGTTTCTTTTGCCTGGACCCTAGGATGCTTTGGTGCTCTCTGGGAAAACCCTTTTAAATGGCACAGGCCCAGCTTTTGGTTTTTGTGAGGTAAATCCTCCTTAGTCTATCCATCAACAACCATCTCACAGCCATGACTGCCAAGCCTTTTGACTGCCATTTTGGTAAGGCAGACATTCAAGGTGCTACTCATAATTACTAGAGGCTGTTGGCATTTTAAAAATGGAGCGAAACCGTGAATGTTGATCTTTTGTCCAGCTATTTCTGTGTAGGCAGTACGGCTCTCAGAAATCAAGTGTGGCACTTCCTGCGTGAGGAGATCGCAGCTGAATGCGCAAGATTGTTGGTGCATGGTTTGAACACGTGGTTGGGTCCTTCCAGGGGGAGATCCGGAAATGGGGAAACAGCCAGAACCCTCATGGGATTCTGGAAGCGGTGGTCCAAAAGACTACAAGAGTTTCCTATCACCAGCACTGGACAGCCCTGCCTTAAAAATGAGCTCAGTATTTTAATAGTGCTGTAGCTTTCTTTATTAGGTGCTACAATTATCATTTCAATCTCTGATCTGATGGAGACGTTTTTAACAATAATTCCAGATAAACTGCTGCATCCATCTCTTCCTCTTATTTTTCCTCATCCTAGATTTTATGTCCAATAAGAATGGCTTCCAACTGAAGTCTAGTGTTTGGTGGTAACTTTTACTGTTGCCACTACAGGATCCATGAAATCAATAGCGGTAGAATGGAAATAGCCTTCCCCCACCCTTTTCTTCCTTGTCTTTAAGTAGCTCATCTCTCAGCAAGATCTCTCTCTTGCAGCTTGCTGAGGCCAAAACCACTCCAAGGACGAATTTACGGAGATAATAGATCATGGGAGTAGCACTTTTTACAGCAAAGGCTGGTAATTCTGATTTCGTGGCTGTAACAAGTCCTCTCTTGCTTTTAAGCTGGAAGTTTTAAGAGCAAGTTACTGAACCCATGGTTGTTGTGGGTTTTTCGGGCTCGTTGGCTGTGTTCTGAAGGTTGTTCTTCCTGACGTTTCACTAGTCTCTGTGGCCGGCATCTTCAGAGGACAGGAGTAGGAACTCTGTCCATGCACTGTTGGTGTTTGTTGGATAGTATTTATAGCTGTGGGAACTGGCTTTTGTCTTTTTTCAGGAGATAGGGTGATCAGCATGTTTTTGTTGTGATAAGGGGGGGGAGAGATCTGTCACTGTGATTGATGGGTGTCTTTTTTGTGCAGTGATCTACCAGCTAACAACAGCCATCAGTCACAGTGACAGATAATCTCTCCCTCTCCCCCCCATCACAACAAAATCATCCTGACCACCCTATCTCTCCTGAAAAAAGACAAAAGCTGTTCCCACAGCTATAAATACTATCCAACAAACACCAACAGAGCATGGACAGAGTTCCTACTCCAGTCCTCTGAAGATGCCGGCCACAGAGACTGATGAAACGTCAGGAAGAACAACCTTCAGAACACGGCCAAAGAGCCCGAAAAACCCACAACAACCATTAGATCCCGGCCATGAAAGGCTTCGCAAATTACTGAACCCAGTTGGGGAATTTGGGTTCTGTTACTTGGGTAATAGCTGCTAGACAGACCGTGAGGTGATCATCACCAGCTTTGCATTTCTGATGTAGTCAAGGCACAATATCCACGTTGAGCTATAAAGTTAGTTGGGCAACGACAAGGTAATTGTAAACGTCCAAAACCGATGGGAAGACCCACCTGTGGCTTCTCTCCTAGTGTTTTTTTTCCCACTCAAGGTGGGACTCTTTTATTCCCCTCCCTTGACTCTTTTATGGTGGTAAATGAACGTGCCTTTCCTACTCAGGACCTCTTGAAATGACCTTTCTGTTGTTGTTTGTGTCTTATCCTTCCTCAGTTGCCATGTTATTAATTGATCCCAGACCCTGTTGCATGGAATAACAATAAAAAAATGTGTGGCTAAAACCAAGTGGTGCTGACTTGTCTGCTGGCATTTGATTCGAAAAGAAATGGGAGTTAAGGCAACAGGTATACCTCAGATCAATTAAATTCTGTCTTTCCAATGTTAAATGTCTCAAAAAGGCTGGAGGGCAGCGTTCTGAAGGTATATCCATATTGACCAGATAGGCGGGATATAAATAGAATAAATAAATATCTCAACCCATGGACTGCAAATGGCTTTACAGAAATTGCTTTCCCATTAAATCCCACATACAGTATTTCAGTGGAGATAAGAGGGATATTTTGCTACAGAATCCGAACTCCAGATCCTAGGATTGAGGTGTCTTTTAAGATCTTCGTTTTTCCTAAGCCTTAGTGTTGCAGTCTTTAAGAATAAGACGAAAAGGCAATATTAGTATAGCTTTTTCTGGCTCTTGTTTGTCTTTAATCGATGGTTCACAATGGAGAAGATTCCTATATAAAGTGACCTCAATGACCTTAAACTAAGGAGGTTGTGAAAGGGAAGAATTAATGGAAGAATAAATGGAAATTGGTGGTGCAGAGCAGATGCATTTGGGGGGCGTTAAGGCTGCAAGTGTGAAGTTTATGACACATACAAAAAATAAGCATTGAAAATAATGAAGATTTATTCTGTCACAACTCAGGAAGAACTCCAGACTTCTTGAAAAAAAAAGAGTAGGGCAATGGGCGTGGCCGTGTCCTGAAAGGCGCGGGCGCTGATTGGCGAGCTCCCTCGGAGGGGGCGGAGCAAACCCACCATCCCCCTTTACCCTCTGCGCCCGACCCGAGCGTCCGCCACCTCCTCCCAGCCCCAACACCACCACCACCACTTGCCCCACCCGATGCCTCCCGGGAAGTGTAGTCCCTTCCCTCCTCTCCCTTCGCTCCCTCTCCTTCCCAAAGGACCCCATTTCCCAAGAGGCGGAGCGCGCCCGCGGGGAATAGACCGGATGAGAGGTGGAGCCCTCCCCTCCCAAGCACCGCCCCTTCCGCAAAGCCTTTCGGGGGTTGTGGTCCGAGCGCCCAGCGGGACGCTTTCCCGCCTTTCCCCCACCCCTCACACCCCCTTTT